ACATTTTATGACACCAGTTTTTAATCTGGTATAAGGCTGTCTTACTTCATATTCTTTTTTGCATAGCAAAGCTTATGCACAAAGTAAAGCTTAAAGTTTATAAGTGCAGTATACGTACAAATAAAAGTACTTACTAGAGTCATGGAGAATGCTGATGGAAGTACCAAACTGATCATAAGGAAAATGTAGCTTTTCATCTTGAGTTCTGAGCAAAAGCAAATATTAAATTGTGACCTTTACTATGGATTTATCTTAGTTCTCTTGAATTTGGTTTAATTTATTTGACACCTGATTACCTCCAGCCACTCTGTCTGTTTAACTACAAATGAGAAGCTCACCAAACTCAGAGGTTTAAGTCATCATTAAAACACAATGTTACACACCTGGCATTCTTTTTTTTTGTCAGTTTTGCAGTGTGTGTCATTGCTGGGAGTATCATCAGATGTGTCAGCATGTTGGGATTTTTCAAGACAGAAACGTCTTGTTTTTGTCACATGCTTTATTTTCACATGTTGTTCTTTAGACAGAATGTTTTGGATTACTCAGTTGTGTCTAAACAGTTAGTTACCAGGTGTTAATGCTATTAATTTTTTTTTTTCAATATGGCAAATTATTGAAGTAAATAGTAAATGGACTGTATTTATATGCCACTTTTCTATCTAATCAAGATACTCAAAGCACTTTACAACACAATCTCTGCCTTCATTTACCCATGCACACACATTCATACAGCGCTCTACATCTCTACAAAGCTCGAGTGAACAAATCATTTTATAGAGACTAATCTTATCACATTCATACACTGATGGGACACACATCAGAGGCAATGAGGGGTTCAGTGTCTTGCCCAGGGACACTTCAACATGTGACCGCTGCTGGAATCAAACCCCCAACTCTCCCGTTAAAGTACGACTGCTCTAACTACTCAGCCACAGCTGAAATGTGTATTAACAATATTTATAGTTTATAAATGAATTGTTTGATAAGTGCAAATTTCCAAATTAAACATAATTTACTAGAATGTACTATATCGACCAATTTAATTGTTTTGAAAGTTTTTAACAATGCATCTAAACGATTCACAGCAATTGTCAGGTACATGTGCCAGTTGTTGTAGTGTTTCACACATGACTAATTAGTCAATAAAAAACCCACCATTTTATCTATTATTTTAATATTATTTATACCTCTTTAGTTTATGCCACTGTATCTTGTTCAAACTAATCAGTTAGATGTTGATGTGTGTATTTCAATAATTTTTTTGAAATCTATCCAACCATCCATTCATCCATTATCCTCCACTTGTTCCTAAGTCTGGTCTCTCAAGCTGCAGCTTGAGCGAGGAGGCCCAGACATATTTTTCCACAGCCACCTCTTCTAGCTCTACTGGGAGGATTCCAAGGCATTCCCAAGCCAACAGAGGGATCTACCGGTCTTTCCTGTGTGTCCTCCGTTTTCCGTGAGGTCTCTTCCCAGTCAGACATGCCTGAAGCACTTACCTAGAGAGGGGCCCAGGGAGCATCCTTACCAGCTGCCTGAACCCCCTCAACTGGCTCCTCTCATTGTTGAGGAGCAGCGATTCTACTCTGAGTCTGTCCCAGTTGACTGAACTTCTCAGTGGCATTAACAAAAAGACAGGAGAAAGAACTGGAAGTGGCAGAAAGTCAGATGTTGAGTTCCTTCTTGGATAAGATTAGGAATGAGATAATGAGAAATACAGCACAGGTTGAAGAACTGGGAAATAAAGTTAGAGAGACCAGATTGAGATAGTTTGGACATGCCCAGAGGTGGGACAGTGGGTATATTGGTAGAAGGAGTCAGGACAGTGGATGCAGAGGACAGAGTGAGATGGAGAAGGATGACTCGCTTTGGCAACCCCTGAAGAGGGAAAAGCAGAAAAAAGAATTTGTATATATATTTATATACATACATACACACATGTCTGTGTGTGTTGGTTTGATAATTATTATCAGGACATTATTACCTGCAGTGTTCCCTCAATGAGGACTGAACTAGGCAAAAGGGCCTTCTCCTACTCCGCTCCTGTTTCCTGGAATATCTTACAAAAAGATTTGAAGCTCTTGCCCTTGACCTCTTTAAGTGGCTTTAAGAATTTGTTGGACTCCTGGCAGGGACCAACGCAGACATGTTCCTGTTTTTAGTTTTCTACATTCGCCTTAGAATCTAGCTGTTTTTTTGTTACCTTTTTCTTTTAGCCATCCTATTTGTAAAAAAAAACAAACAACAAAAAAAAACTGCAGTATGACTTTTTATAATTGTTTATTGTTGTTGCTGTTGTCCATTGTTGTCATCTTTCTTTGTTGAAATCAGGTCTCTCTTGTAAATGAGTCCTCGAGGCTCAATGGGATTACCTGTCTAAATAAAGGTTGAATAAATAATATCAGCAGTTTAGAGAAATTCAGCAAATTGTTTTGTTAAAAAAACAAACAAAAAATGCAGTCCAAACATCTCTGTCTTTGATTTAAGTCATTTAGCTGCAGCAAGTAGTCGTCTATTTTAGTATCTAAACTAAAAAGAAGTTGATACAAACCATTTGAGCTGTAGCCTGTAGCTAAAGACTGAGGCATCATACATCATCAATCAGAGGTTACTGCACTTTATATAATATTTTGTCAATTTTGTGCCACTTACTCCTCAGCATTGACACAATACATTTCATTCCTTGTAATTATATATCACAAAAGCTGAACTGCCATTTTCTTTTGATCAACTGCATCTATTTTTATTAGATTTAGAAGTCTGATTTAGTGGATGTCTTTTGGTTTGTTTTATATTGTATTTTTTATTATATTAATAGGTTTTAGGCAGCACTGCCTCAAAAACAAGTTTTGCTTATTGTTTAGACTGTTGTTCTCCCAGAAATTGTTTGCTTTATTGTGTATACATAATTTGAACTGTAAAAAAAGTAATTTTATTTTTGAGACTTTACATTGCACTGGTTGTGATTTGGGGCAGCACGGTGGCGCAACTGGTAGAGCTGCTGCCTCTCAGCGAGCTGGTCCCTGGTTCAAATCCCGGTCCGGGGGCCTATCTGGGTGAAGTTTGCATGTTCTCTCCGTGCATGCGTGGGTTTTCTCCGGGTACTTCGGTTTCCTCCCACAGACCAAAAAACATGCATGTTGAGCTGATTGGTAACTCTAAATTGTCCCTAGGTGTGAGTGAGAGAGTGAATGGTTGTTTGTCTCGTTTGTCTCTATGTGGCCCTGTGATGGACTTGCGACCCGTCCAGGGTGTACCCCGCCCCTCGCACAGTGATTGCTGGACATGGGCACCGGCAACCCCCGTGACCCAAAATGGAATAAGCGGGTAAAGAAAATGGATGGATGGATGGATGGTTGTGATTTGAGGAAAGGGACAGACTATTTTTTTAATGTCGCACCTAGAGTCCCTTGACAGGATTTAACAGTCATCTTCATGAAAACAAACCCAATAAAAATAAAAATAAACTTTTCCTGGGAAAAAGCAGCAAATACAAGTGGTCAGAGGTTACTGTATATGTGTTGAAACAAAATAAATATTATTTCACCTTCCGTACAAAATAATGTGCTAATTAGACCACACATTTGTAGTTTGACACTTTTCTTTATTTTTTGACAACCACCAAGACCTATAGTAAAATATATTAGCATGTGGTTAAATATAGCATTCATAATATGATCAACTGCATTCATAATCACAAAAACAAATCAGTTTTTTAATTAATAATGTACAAATCCTTTCCAACAAAAATGGTTACATCACCAAATGTCATGATAGCAGAGGGATAATGAGACATTTTATGTTAATTATACACAAGTATGCTTGACTTTTCAAGTTTAGCAATAAACCCATACACCCAACATATTCCTGGAAAAACATGGTAGGATTGCTCTTTAATCATTTTAAAAGCAAAACATATACTGTGTATTAGAAACTTTATGATGCTGTCATTTCAGAGGCAGATGATGTGAATTGGAGGAGCACCTTACTGAACCAAAAACAGCAACGTCAGCAGGAGAATGAGGAAGGGAGAGGACACCACAGCAGGAGCGAACCCAAAAATACTACAGCAGAAAGAAATACAATCACAGCATTATATACAATAAATGGTAAGTAGTTTAAGCAGCTAAATTAGCCACTTTGTGGCTTATTGAGCTTTTTGATCGTCTCACTTAAATACATAACTCTTAACTCTTGATTTATACCATTATGTGCATGCATTAATATATTTGCATTCACATAAATTGTATTTTCCAGTAAAACAATGCAGAGAATTTTGACAAAAAATAAAATAAAATCCATTTTTCAGACCTGGTTTTGGTTTTGGTGTCAGTAAGTGCAATTGCTTTTTTGTAACAAATAACCAAAACACACAGGGAAAAAAAGTTTTAATTTGATCTAAAAGCAACGTAGGATAAACTACACCTTTATAATGTAATTTTTATGTAAATTCAACCTTTATTTAAACAGATAAATCACATTGAGCCTCGACGACTCATTTACAAGTGAGTAATGAATGAAAGAATGAATGAATGAAATGAATTCACCTATGAAAGTAATGTAAATTTTTACATCATTTTTATGTTCTTTATTCCATTATAGCTTTTTACAACAATTGTTGCAAGTTTAAAAAGTTCAAGTTACCTTCTGTCATCTTTTGTTGTTGGAGGAGGTGGACTGGTGGTAGTTGAGAGCCTGAAAAAAAATCACAGCATTACTAAAAACAAAAAGGAAGTATAAAAAACAATGTTAGAATAATTAATTCTAAGTAATAACTATGTTACAAAATATGAAAAGCAAGACCTCATCATAACCACTTTTGTAATCCAAAAATCTGTCTGGTTGGGGCTGAAAACTCCATCCATCCATCCATCCATCCATCCATCCATCCATCCATCCATC